CTTCACTTGCTAACACTGCAACTGTGAATCCAGTTCTAATGTTGTGTTGAATACAAAGCAAGACACCATATTTATAGTTTTAGGTTTACAAAAGCCCAAACCATAAAAGGGCCAAAATATTCAACAATGAATTACATTTAACAAATTTTAGGTGTGATCCTTCTAGTCAAGAATCGTTCATCTTGATTGTGAATTTAGTCAACTATAAACAGTTTTAGGAATATAGATCCTCTGTGATTTGTTGCTATGAGCGGGAATGGGTGGTCTTGCAAACACTCAAGTCAATGACTATCAAATTTAAGAAGTATTTAGGTTTAAAATGTGTATACTTTGATTTGACGTATATGGTCTTTTATATATATATATATATATATATATATATATATATATATATATATATATATATATATATATATATATATATATATATATATATATATATATATATATATATATATATATATATATATATATATATATATATATATATATATATATATATATATATATATATATATATATATATATATATATATATATATATATATATATATATATATATATATATATATATATATATATATATATATATATATATATATATATATATATATATATATATATATTCTAGAGTTTTTGGACTCTTAGAATTTTCGAATGAACGAGTGCAGTTGAGATAAACATGTCATAGTCTATTTTATTTTGTCATATGACGACCCTTTTTCAATCATTTGCTCAGATTAAGTGCTTTCATAGGGAAGGCCTACGCTTGTTCCTAAGGTCCTAGAATATTCCTTTAGTTTACATCTATGGATACAATATTTTGTTCTCATACTTCATTGGTGTGACGTCATTATGGTATACTAGCCTGAATATTGTTTTATTGGGCTTTATACCTCTTTGGGTCGTGATAACGATTGTGAACCAGGTAGGAACAATCCCCCTTAATCCTAGTTTTTCGTAGACGGAGTGTCGCTTTTGATCTTATATCATGTTTACGCACACCTTTATTGGCCTTTATGCCATTTGACTTCTATCAAGTTTCAAGGTCTTTCAAGTAGTCCTTTATCTTGTTCAGCCATGAGGAGTGGACTCAATCTAATATGGTTTATTTGACATACTTTAGTATTGGATCATGAGATAAATCTTAGTGTGTGGATTTTTGAGCTATTTCTTGGTTTGGGCAAGCTTTCATTAGTGGAAAATCGTGGTGAGCAAAGTTTTAAGAGTAGGTGAAGGTCAATTTGGGTTATTCTCCTTTCTTGACTTTGTCGCTTAGGGTAACGTAATGTACCTTGATCATGCATCTCATACATCTATGATACAGGCTCTGGTTCCCGAGGTAGATTAAGAAATAGTTGATGATTTTAAGTCTCTTGGTCATCAACTTGTGTTGGCTGAGTGTATTCTTTAAATGGCCAAAGTGGTGCCTTTGACCTGCCATTTCCTTGCTCCATATGATACTCATACATTAAGAGGTATTCATTTCATTGGTTAATTGGAAGGAGTGAGCTATAAATCTCATAAAGACACTGAGACCCTTATTCGACTTCAATTTAAACATGATGAAGTCAATAAAAAAACATGATGATGAGTTTTGTAGTTTCCACGAGGGTTTGAAAATTGTTATTGAGAACATCTCATTGGTTGGAAGATACTTTTGAGATCAAATCCAATTTTTAGATGAAGAGAGAAATCGTTCTGAGGTTTTGGTGGCCATAAGAAGTAAAGAGAATAATATAATGGAAGTGCATCTCTTGGCCTCATAAAGGAGGATTTTCCCTTCACTGTGAAAAAGATTCTTAAGAGGAATTTTCGCCAACCAAGTTTTGAAGGGCCGAAAAAGCAAAGTTCTTCATTGGTTTTAGGCATGGCAACGGGGCGGGGCAGGGGCAGGTTTAGCTAGCCCCGCACCCGCACCCGTCTTCCTGTTACAAACCCGCCCTCGTTCCTAAACCCAGTCGGGGTGGAAATTTACCATTCTGACCCATCCTCGATGGAAACAGGTTTTCCCGCACCCACCCCCACCCGAAAAAAAATATTTCTTTTAAATAGTAATAAAAATTAATAATTTTATTAAAAACTTGACCATTTTAATAATAAACTTGTTTATAAAGATGAGGGTTTGAGTGAATGGTGAGAAATGACTAATGACGATTTTTAATTACTTCTCCAAAAGTGAATAAATGTGTAATAAAATAATTTAAATATAGGTATTAAAGTAAATACCATAAGACCAGACGGGACGGGGTTGGGTGCGGGGCGAGTAGTTGCATCCACCGCACCCACAATTACAAACCGGGTTTTCCCCGCACCCGCACCCAATTAAATCGGGTTTTCCTCATTAATTTCGGGTCGGGTCCGGGCAGACCCGAGTTTTCTTGTCATGCCTAATTGGCTTTGAACAAAGTGGAATTAAGGAAACCATATTAGGGGCTTGTCTTTGGTCCAAGAGGGTCTTAGGGGGACAATATGGAGTATTGAACGGTTTAGAAGGGATGAATATACCTTCCAAATGAAAACTTCATTGAAAATAGTTTGAAAAAATTTATCAGAGTTTTAAAAAAATATTTTGTGTGAGAGAAGCAAACTTTAGAGAAAAACATATTATTCTTATAGATTGGAGTTGATACATAATGACTTAAGTAGTTGGAGTTAACACACAAATTCAACCACATATACAAATGAATGATTGTCAAAATTACACGAGAAGTGTGATTTCACAACGCCAACACTATTTAGATTCTACAATCACAATTTTTTCAGCTTAATCTACAACAAGACAAAATTGAAGTTCCAATTATAACAAAACCTACACATTTACAATAAATCACTACCGAAAGAAATCTCAATGGTATGTAATTTAAGAAATCAATAAAGAAACTTAATCATGCAATTTCTATGAAATTAAAAATGAGAGAGAGAGAGAGAGAGAGAGAGAGAGAGAGAGAGAGAGAGAAGTGCACATTGGGGTTTATACTAGTTCAACGCTTTCATCCCTGTTTTGCATCCACCCTAGTCTCTAATGATTTCCCATTAAAAATTTGTTGGTCTTATAATAATATTTGTGATAAAATTATAAGAGTTTCGAACGATCATAATATCTAAATTAGCATTGAAAATATAAAAATCTTCTTTTTGGATCTTTGACTTGTACACGGTTTACAAACTAAAGTCTTTGGGAAATCTTCACGCGAAATTGCCTTTAACCTTACAGCCACAACAACTTGCTCCTAAGTCTTCGTTCTACGAAAATCTTTACTTGATGTCACCAGTATCTTGAGAGTTGGTATGTCCGAAGAATGAGAAGAACTCTCATGTTGTTTGTAGGCTTCCACACAACACTACAAAGGTGAACCTGAAGAGAAGAACATTTTTTCCATTTGAATTTTTAAAACTAGCAACACTACACACCTTACAAACCTCTGAAATCTTAACCAAATCTTCAAAGAAAAGTTTAATTCAAAAACGAATCTCCTCAACAACCACAAATCTCCAGAGATGAGATTCAGATCCATACAACAATGGAGAAAGAATAAGGCAGAAGATGAAATCAATTAGTTGCAAGTGTTCACAAATCATCCACATTGAAGAGATGTCGTTTATTATGTACAAATACATTTGGTGGATTGTAGATGTTGTCGGTGATGACAATGTTGGTTTTTGAAGCTGGGATGTCCTATATCAAAGACATCACCAGAGTGGACAACACATTTTACCCAAGTTGTTAAACTTGGTTGAATTACTTTCTGGAAAGGATGGAAGAGTTTACCAAATTGAGAGATGTTGAAAGATAAGCAAATAAGAAAATGTCAAAGAAGAAACCACCAATAGATTTAGGTAATGACACATGTTTTGATACATTTTAGTTTTAATCTAACAGTATAACTATTTTTTTGTATGTAATATTGTCAATTATATAATCTTGATTCAATTTGTGTCATATGTAATGTATATTCTACTTTAATGTTATAGAATTTGGGGGTATATTTTGAACAATGTCTACAACTAGTATAAATAAGGTCTCTCAATCTACTTTGTTACAAAAAACAAAATGAATACATATACTCATCTTGCAAGATGAGTATATTTAAGAACCCCTAATGCTGTAAATAAATTTTTGTGGTTGAATTTGTGTATAAATAAGGTCTCTCAATCTATCTTGTATAATCCCAAAAAAATTGATTTCAAATACAATTAATCCAAAAACCCCTAATGCTGTAGATGGGACTAAATCATAAATTTAATGGGAAACCAAAACCGAAGAAAAAAAAATCAAAGTTACAATTAATCCAAATACATATTGTTTTTAATTTTCAATACAATTTTAATTTTTACCTTACAATTATACCCTAACTTTATAGTTAAAATACTTAATAAAAATAATTTTACCAAAATTATTATTCCTTCTTTTATTTATCATATTTTGTAAATATGTCTGAAAATGTCAATAAATGTATCCAAATATTACCAATAAAGTGTGTTAATTCTGTAGATAATAAAGATAAGGATAATAGTAATAATAAGGACTGGATTATGAACATAAATAGCGGCACTGAATAAAGTCAAAAGGATAAAGATATGAAAGGAAAAAAATGGCGCGACCATTACATTATTCAATTGTAAGTATCTAAAAAGAGGGAAAAAAAACACTATTTCTTATCTGTCAAATGATGCTGTTTGAAAGTACACACTAAAGATCAAATCAAAATACATGGAGATAGAATGGTAGATCAAAAAAGATGGATAAAGAATGGTAGATCAAAATACATGGAGAAAGAATGGTAAATCCATTTGAATGCCTAACTTCCAAGATTAGGACAATAAGGAGCTACAAGAGCTCTAACTAAATGCCTAAATTTTTCTTTATTGCAATGAGCGTCTACAAAAGATATTTTACAACATTGAACTACATTTTTTATCAAGAAAAATTTAACTGCATGAATCGTCTTGTGCTACAAACTTGACATACAGCAACCCATGAGTGGAATCTATCTCTACTAATTCCTACATTCTGAGAGGTAGGATAGCGCCAACAAAACAAACTTTTCTTTCTGCCTTTTGTACTCCTTGTATCGGTCGAAAAAATAACTAAGATAATCAAAATCTATTGGGGACATCTTTGCCTGTTTATCATAGAAAGAAATATTAGTCATGGATATCATTTTTATTTGATATGAAAGCAAAACAAATATATTATTACCTGAATTAACCCCCACAATGACCAGAAAAGGTGTGAGGCCAGTGCATATGTATTTGTCTCAACATACAAAGTTTTAAGATCATTCTCAGACACCTGTATTGTGAATTGGTATTACATGCCTGACTGAAAAGATATTGACTATGTGCATCTCATTTTACGGATGATGGATGATTAGGAAACAATGAAATAAAATGCAATTTTAAATATTAATCCCCTTCAATATAATTATTACCTCTTGAGGTCTGTCCGGCTGTAAGTAATGCCTGAAGAAATGATATTGTTCATTCATATTTGGGTACCTGCACGATAAAATGTGGAATAACTAAAATTGATTGTGATCATGTGAAGCGAGAAAAGTAAGCTTAAAGAACTTACAAGGAGTAGTCACATTCAAAACCAGCATACTCTGCAAAGTGATTCCCTATGTCATAGCCTCTGTAGTTGTATGATGCATATTCATAATCAATCAAGTAAAGTTTATCTGGACATTTGGCAGAACAAATCAAAGATTAAAATCGCAGATGTACTAAGAAATAGGTTGGTTATCTAACCATTCTCTCTAGACATGAGAATGTTACATTATTTCTGATGCCAAATGCCCATTCCAGAGGCGTCTAGACATGAGAATGTTACATTATTTCTGATGCCAAATGCCCATTCCAGAGGCGTCTGTCTCCTTATGACTTTGTTATAAACTAATAGAATATTCACATCACAAACTCCTGTTATCAAACAAACTCAGTAAGCTCTAGATCACCATTAATCTTGTATAATCCATTTTTCCTGCTTCAGTTTAACTCGTCAACTTTGAAAATGGGAGATATTATAACAAGCTCATGGGACCTTTAAGGTAACTTTTGTACTCAACTATTTCAAAACCATTGTAGAGTAGTAACGTACATTTTTAACATACAATGCAGCACCATTACATTTGAACTTGCTTCCTAATCGACAATTTTGCAGTATGGGTTGGCTCATTGAGTCATATATTCAAGTTTCAACAACATCAACACAGTTTGAAAGAAGAAAGACAGAAGAAATGGTTCATAGTCATACTAGATACTACTCCCAATGGTTCATATAAATGTCACATATAAAAATGACAATCATAAGAAAAAACTAAGAATAGAAAGAAGCTAACAAAGTATGTACATAAATAAAATATAAAGCAACAAGACAGAGGCATAATTATTCCATAATTGAGGTATGTGGATACCTTCTTCTTGATTAACCATTATGTTTCCAGAGAGCAAGTCATTGTGAGAAAAAACTACAGGAGATTTGAGACGATCACACAACACCTGCAGCAAATTTAAAAATACAAGTATATGTCATAAGAATTTTTTTTATAAATATAGAATGCATCAATCACTGCCACTATTTCATTAAAAAAAATGCCAAAGCTAATTCATAAATTACCAACAAGAACACAAAACTGGAAAGGAAGACAATCATATGTTATATTTTTAATCGAATTTCCTATCGATTGGTTTTCAATGAGATAGAATTCTTTGTTCTTACGTGATTCTTTAATCATAGATTAAAGAGAGATATTGCATCAAGTTTATCCTCTTGTAATCAAATTTTCACTTTCGATGTAAGAATCACTTGAGACAGAGAAGACGGCAAATTGGAAGACGAAACAAGCCAGTGTGGCCACAGAAGTCTTTTGTGTGGCAATATATTAAAAAGAAAAGGAGTATTTTTTTCATACTGTGCATGTAGACACAAAGCAAATTAGCAGGTGTGCATGAACCACTGTTGTCAATTGCAGATGGCGCTATAGCACTATTGCATAGTGGAATTTTAACAATATGTTTTTTTTCTGCCATCTGCAAGCTGAGAATAACAGTTACCAATCCAATTATAGCTACTTGTAAGCTGAGAATTTTTTTATACCGTTCATGCTCTTCTATTATTTTACTTTTAATTCTGTTTTTTAATATCTTGGCACTTTACAATCACTCTAGAATTTATAGTTGATAATTGGAGCCACAATCTCGTAAGGAAGTAGGAACAAGAATCAACTCATCTACATTACTTGTACACTTTGGAGCACTTGGTAATCTCATTCATCAGGGTACTTTCTGTCTAGGCCCCAGTCCTTAGGTAGTTTGAATATTTAGTAAAATGATCGTATATTTAACAGGACAAAAGATGGCAAGAGCCAATCTTAAAATCTAAAAGGTTTCACACATGTGGTTAGCATTGGACTTATGGTGGTAATTTATCTGATCATGCATTACATAGAAAGAAAATACAAAGATAACAGCTAACATACGAATGAAAAGAACAAGCACCTGGAGCTCATTAATTTCATCTTGAACTTCCCTGAACGAAACTGTCTTGTAAGTCTTTTGCTTTTCACTATCATCAAATTCTAGAACAGATGCTGTAAGTGAAAACAAAACAAAAATTTGAGGCGGCTCAAATACTAATAATACAAACCTCTCAACCACATAAATTAACCCATGGCAAAAGAAATCTGCACGAGGAAACTCTATTGATAACCATTTTAATACTTTGATCAATCAGTTTTTGCATAGGACTGGGGAGAAAGAATGACAAATGTAAAGACCTTCTAAGCAAAATGTGAACACCAAATAGATGAATTCTAAGCCAATGAGGCCAACAATCCAAGAGATTCTTCACATAGCATAAGAAACCATTATAATGATTACAGTATCAAAAAACTTATTTCTCTCAAACATGAAATCAGGGAAAGTACTAAGAGTAAGACAAAGCTGAAGGGAAGCTAAAAATTTGGCCCAAGAGATATGGTTGAAATTCTACAACTCCGGTCCATACAAGTCCGATTCACCTTAAACAAAATTACAAAAATAACTAAAAAAAAAATTAAAAAAAAAGAGAGAGAAGTGAACAAATATCACATTAGTTACAGGGAAGAAGAAAGAACCTTTCTCAAAAAACTTCCAGATGTCATGCCATAACTGAGGTTCCTTAGAACCTGGAATTTCCACATGGTGAAATCTTTTAAGTTGTTTGGCTATTTTAGGAACCAGTTTTGGGTCTCGCATATCTGCCATCAAGGAAAAGCATTATTATGCATTAATAAGGTTGTAATTCTACAGTTTGTCAAAAGTATGTAATTGAATGAGGGCCAATATCATAGTATAAGTTTACTCCAAATGATACTTAATTCAGACGTTACAATGAAGCAATAGTGTGTGCTTGTGCGCACGCGCGCGCACGCGTGCATGTGTGAGACAAATGGATTAGAAAATAAGGAGGACAAGCTCCTTACAAGAAACAAGATAAAGGAAACTCGGCAGGGGGACATAAAAATCACAACTTTAAAACTATTCCATCCTACTTAATTATTGCCTTCCTTCCCTCTCCTTGACAATTGACAATGTAATTGCTGTTATAACCTCTCCACTGTCTTCCAAGTTCCAATAAACTGTTCCTTTTGACATTTCTTCTATGTTCTTCAACTCCTCTGTTGCATCTTCTTCCAAACATGTTCATTCATCCCCTCACTTCCATCCCGCCCATCCATGCCCAATTTTCATTTTTCTAGCACATACATGTGCTACGGGGGCTTATACAATATTGAAGATATTTAATTAAAAGAGTGGATTAAATAAAAAACGTCATAATGTATATTAAGTTACTAACTAATAACAATTTCAGCTTAGAGCCTTATCACAGTGAATTGTTCGGAGAAAATGGTCCAAGGTTGGTGAAGACAAACCAATCAATCCCAATAAAATACAAGTTCATCCAGTCAGGAATCTATTTCAATACTAAATGGATTTTTTTCTTTATATTTTTGAAAATGGATTCTACAAAAACGTTTTTCAAAATATTAAAAGTTTTTTTATATTTGTTTTTATAAATTAAAACACTAATTTTGACATTCTATAACATAAACATACATTATTGAAGATCAGAACATATTCAAAATCACAATTTTTTCAAAAAAGTTGTATCTAAAAAATGATTTTTATGAAAAGCTACTTGAAATAGCTTCAAAATTAAGTGATTTTTTGAAATTTTGATATCCAAAAAAAATTTCTATAAAATAATGAAATACCTAAAATAACATTTTAAGAATAACTATTCAAACCAAATTTTTATTTGAAGCTTTTATAAAAAGTTTCTTTGTAAACATTTTTTACGCCAAAATATATTACACTATAAAAATCATTTTTAGAAAAAGCCAAAACAAACGGGGCCTATGTCCTTCTAAGGTTAAAATCTAGTCACCAATTGGACCTAAAATGAAAATGACCAGAGGATAATGTTTAGTACATATCTAGTAAGCAGGTTACCACAACTCGAAAAGCAATCCCTAATATTATCCTTACATATGCTTAATTTTCTTACAAATACTACCAAAAACACCAAAACGCTGGCAATCTAACGAAATCTATTAACATTTATCAATTTGGATTTGTGATTTGTATGTACCTGATGGTGTAAGAGTATGTGCATTAATAAAAGATTGCACAATGCCATTTCCAAATATTCCAAGCCACTCCGCCCCAAATCCTTCAGCAGTGATGTATTTGATGGCCTAAAGAAAAGTTCACAAGCAATTACAATGAGTAAACTTCAAGTAAGCTATTGAGTATATTAAAAGATGCCCCCTCCTCTAACTCTAACCTGCAATTCTCGATGGCGATCAATAATATGCTCAGTGTTGGGTCCATACAATCTGATTGTTATAATAGCATTTACAGAATCCCCTTGTTGAACTGAAACCTTGAGTAACAAATTAGTTATGCCTCCAGAAATCTTGTCAATAATAAAGCAAGAATCATCTAAATTTGACCAATCCTTGAACATATCCTTGCACAAATTACTGCATTGAATGACAAAGTAGAAGAAAAATAAATAAATTATACGCTACAAATACAAGCAAGAACCATAGAAGAAAAAAAAGGTAAAGAGTTGGGAACATACATGACGAGAGGTGTCATTTGAGGAAGGGAGAGAGAGGGATCAATGGTAAGAAGAGAGGGAAAAATCTGGGAGGCGTAATCATTTTTGGCTTGTTCAGCGATTTCAACGGGATTCCAGATCTTAACCTTTCCACCCATTATTAATGGAAGCGAACCAGAAATGAAAGAATGTAAAAAGGAGAAAGTGTAAAAGAGAAGGGGAATGGCGAATTGTGGTTGGGGGTGGTGAGAAGAATTGTAGTTAGTTTTCTAGCTTTCTAATCGAACGGTGTCTTGAGGTTTTGTTTGTCTAGTCCTGCAAAATGACCAATATAGCCACCACCATTCCGTCGACACTTCTCTCTTTCTTTATTAAAAGTATTGTAATAACTATTCGTACCAAGATATTTTAAAAGATTTTATTTGTTTGTAACATATTTAATATTTAATTGTTATGTCCTCACAATATAAAAATATTTTATACCAATAAAAATATATTATTATATTATTTTATATAATTAGTTTAAGATTTTTAATATGATTTAGTGAGTTGTATAGATGTTATTGTTTAATAATATAAAAAAATTTACACTATTAGGATATTATCATTTTTTTTCTTATAACAAACCAACAAATTATCTATTAACACAGATAAGTTTATTTGATATGATGTAAAATATATTTAAATATGTATTTAAATTTTAAATTAATTATTAATTTTAAAATAAAAGTAATTATATAAATTCAATTGTATTAGAATACAATGAGAAAAAAATGGATTCGTAAAATAAATAAATAAATAAATAAATATTTAATATTTAAAAATAAAAAATTTATGTTTTAAATTAAAAAAATAATTGATTAAAATAAAATATTTATTGTGTTGATAGTGACCCATAAAATAAAAAATATACTTGATATAATATAAAATGTATTTATATACATGTATAAAATAATTTACTTAATTATAAAATATAAAAAAAATAAACCATGATATGGAGAAAGAAAATATAATAATATTTGTGTTGATAAGGATTTGTAAAAAATAATAATAAATGTTGTCTCTTAACCTAATGCAATGGTTGATTAAAATTAAATAAATATTGTGTTGATATTGACCCGTGACATAAAATTAACTATTAATTATATTAAAATTAAATAATAAATTATTAATGTTTTAGTGATAATAAATAAAGAGTTAAATATGTTTGTATTCCTCTTAAATATTTTAAATTTCGTTTTTAATCCTTAAAAAAAATTTATAGAATGATCCTCCTAAAAAATTTCATCCACACTTTGATGCCTCCTGCAACTTAGCAATGATTTTTATAACTTAGTGATTGAATTAGCGACGGTTTTAGTATTAAAGACCAAATGTATTGATGAACAATTTTAGGAGGACAATTTTTTTTAAAAAATATTTTAATGAACTAAAAATGAAATTTGAGATATTTAAAAAGACCATAAACATATTTAACTTCTAAATAAATAGAGAAAAAAAATTAAAATTAAGGTGAGAAAGTGTAGGAAAGAGAAATGTAAAAGAGAATTAAAATTTTAATTAAGAGAGAGAATGAATGTATGTAATATTTTATTGGTAAAGGTTAAAAAATTAATGTCACATGTCAATCTTTGGAAGAGTTAGATATATATAGTAGATTGTTGATATTGGACACATGACATGTTATAATAGGAGATGAAAATGAAAAATGTAAACATTAGTTGATTACTTAAATTCTTTTTTTAATGTAAATACTACCTCTATCTCAAATTATAAGTCATTTTTTAAAAAATGTTTGTTCTAAATTATAAGTTATTTTAAAATTTTAATACAACATTAATGATTTTTCCTTAATATATCATTTATCATTTATTTTTCTTTCTTCTTCTTATTTTTTTAGTTTGTTTTCTAATATAATTAATGAAGAGCGTTTTTGTAAAGTCATAGATCATTTTAATTTTTCATAAAGTAATAATTACATTTCTTAAATTGTGTAAAATATTCAAAATATCTTATAATTTAGAAATTAATAGTTGATTAGTCTAACAACTTATCTGAATTGTATATTTCTTTTGTTTTTTTGAAATTCTTTTTTACCCCATTCATTTCTTATGTTATTATGTTAATGGTGGGTATGGAATTTAAGCAAACATGAAGCGTGATGGCATTTCTCTCTTGATTCTTCAATTATATTTGTGACTTTTATTTGTATTTCTTTTTCGATATGTTGTTTTTTTTCAATAAGATACATATGCACTTAATGAAGGTTAAAATGTGTCTCTTTATCTGCTTTTTTATTGCACTAATATATGTAAAAAAAAATTAAATAGATCATATATATTTTTTAGTATAGGAACGAAAAAGATGGATATGAATATGTGAAGTCGATTGGAGTGACAATGAGTGCTATCGGGTATGGCGGGACGGGGTGGCTCTGCAAGGTTAATGTATCGGATCAGAACCATAATTATGCTTGAATTGGGAAGTTGGAATCCTAGTGTGATGTTGCAAGTTTTCGATGCGGTGGATCACGGGGGTTGAACCTACAAGGTTAACACTCAAATGCTCAAGTCAGTGATTGAGACCAAAAAGGGGTAGAGTGAAATATGGAAAAGTATGAATGTATCTCCTCCGCTTAAGTGCATAGAAGTATTTATCACTGGATCGAGTTTATTAGGCCTTTTTGGAGTATTAATCTATCTCTTTCCTGTCAACCCATAACTATTTCCCCAAAGGTTTATCATGGTATGTTGGACAGGATGTCTTCTATGATCTGTGTCGGGCTTGTTTGGTAAGTCGTTTGTAGGTGAAACTTGATGTGTCTGATTGACATGGAGAGAAGAACATGCGCGTTAAATTTCCTTACCGTAATTGGGGTGTTTCGAATGAATTTTAAATGTGTGCCCATAGGTTAGCAAGTTAGGGTGTGGCATTTCTCCTCAGGGTGATCGAATGCACTCAAGTGCTATGGTAGACTCGAGGCAAGATCTGACTGTTATTTTTCATCTTCTTATTTCCTTTCTATTTTGGTCGTAGCATGCTTGCTTTATTTCTCTATATAAGTATCACTCGATTTCACAAGTGAATATTTGCTATTACCACTATCTAAATCACACCTAACCTTTTGAGAAGTCATTTGCTTTTCCATGCATTTTTTACAACCTTGTAGTGTTCCTTCCTTTTTTACGGAAGTAGTGTGTTCTTTGAGTGAATCCCCGCTCATTCTGCTTGCCTTTCTTTATTGAGCTATCTGCGCCTCAAGTACCATCTTCAAACTCTGACATTTATCGCATAATTCTCATTCATTTATCTTACTATGACTAGTACAAACAATTCATATTCTACTTTTTGGCTTGTCCCCTTTGGTCATAACCCTTCATCATTGATGGGGATAGAAACCCCTAATAACAAATTTTGGGCACACTCTTTCCCTGACTCGGGCCTGGTGGTTATTTTTTATAGTCCCGACTTTGGAGAGTATTTTTCCAACGAATCTTCTAGCTCTTTCTCGGATAGGGATGTTATGAAATATAATAATTAGGTTAAATTGATTAATGATGCCTTCTTCCTCCTAGGGGTCATTGGCGACTTTGCCTCATTCATTGGCATTATGCCTTCTGTTGGGATTACTTCTTGGAACGAGCAGATACTTTAGCATTTCTTTGACATGCATAGGATAACCCATGGTTGTGCGGCCCTAACCAAATTGTGCTTATCCTTTAATGTTATATGTAGTAAAGTTATTGATCTTGGAAATTTAGATGACTTGGAACACGAAGTTGGAGTTATCTTGTGCCAATTAGAGATATTTTTCCCTCTATCATTCTTTGATGTTATGGTTCACTTAGTCGTTCATCTATTAAGGGAGGTTAGAATTTGTGGTCCAGTTTATTTATGATGGTGTATCCGGTACAACATTACATGAAGATTTTTAAAGGGTATACAAAGAATAATCACTGTCTGAAAGCTTCGATCGTAGAAAGGTACATCACAGAAGAAGCTATTGAGTTTTGTTCAAACTATTTATCAGAAGCTTCCTTTATAGGAATTCCTGAGTCTCGTCATGATGGATTTTATGATGGTATAGGTGTTCAAGGTTTAAATGTTAAGGCATTTTCCTAAGATGTAGTTCTTCAAGCACATTTGCATATATTGAATAACCTTAGTGAAGTTCAACCTTACTTGACCGGTCACAAAAGTCTTTTAAATTAAAAATTCTCACGGATAAATGAAATATGATTGTTGATAAAGCATAACAAAACTTTCATAAATTGGTTTAATGAAAGTATTTCTAAAGAGAGTAGTGCATCAGATCTTTGCAAATAGTTGTCATGCATGCCTAAGTTTATTGTAATTACTTGGAGTACATACGACATTTCTAAATATTCATTATATAAAAAAATCAAAGGATGATCGTAGCACCATGAAAAATAGTGGGGTTATGGTTAACGTTGAATCCATGTACTTTTCTAGTTCCAAAGATAACAATCTTGTACTAACATCTAAGGCGTATTGTGGGGTCATTGAGGAGATTTTGGAGATTGACTATGTTTCATTTAAAAATGCCTTTATTTAGGTGCAAGTGGATTGACAGTAACACTGATGTAGAAACCAATGAATTGGGATTCATGCGGGTTGATATTCGTAAGGCAACTTATAAGGACGGACCTTTCATCATGGCATCCTATGTAAAGCAAGTTTTTTATGTCACTGATCCTTTTAACACTAGATGGTCAATTGTTCTTAAGGTAAACATCTTCCTGATAATATTGATGAAAATCAAGATTTTAACTTTGAGACGCCTTGTTTAGCAACACATGTACGTCAAGCATCTGAAGAACATGATTCAGATGATGTGCATGTTATTCGTCGTGATCATGAGTAGAGATATGGGGAATTAGTAAGTAAATGTTTTATATTCATTTGAAATTTATAATTAATCATTTTACTTCTTTTTAATCAATGTACTATATATTTAAAGTTGTTGTTGATTGACCTAATTAGTTTCAAATACTGTTCAAACTATAGGTACTTAAGGACCAGTGATAAATCCTATTGGAGAGACTACACAACTTTCTATTTTGGTTATTGATTTTGTTTAATAATCCTTTGTTTTAGTTTTGGAAATGGTTTTGTAATTGGTTCTATAATACTGGTT